TTTTTTTTTTTTTTTTTTTGTTTCCTCGTTTGTGTTTTATAACGGAAAAACAAGTGTAAACGTTCTTTGTACTTTTTCGATGGTGTATCAGTGTATCTGAATAAATTCAGGTAGTCACATTACAGGCCATAGCGTCCTCTAGAAATTGGCATTCGTCATAATTGAAACACTCTCAAATACACACGGTATTCGAGCTCGACAATACTACGGATCAACGTACATCTTATTGCTCGTTTGTAAATAGCTCTCCCTAAATTAGATTCAATTTTCAAACATTATCATTCCCTTTTTTCTTCTCCTTTTATACAATAGAATAATCCATTTGAATGTGGATTATTCTGTGCACAATTAGAGTCAGAGAGAGTAAGAGATCACATGATTCAGGTCATAAATATTTACCTCTGTATATACATGGAATTTCTCAATAATTATTCACTTAATTTTATTATTTTTAATATATTTACAACATACACACGCACAATATCTCTTTGTGCTCTCTTCTTGAGAAATAGGTGATTTGTTTTTGTTATCGTACAAGATGAAAGCTCGGTAAAATCATCACCGTGTTACAAATAAATTCCTCTAGAAATACTTTACGGATCGGAACTCAAGCGTTTCAATTTATCTGTCCCTGCTTTTTTCGCCGTCTCGTCTAATACTGCAAGATAAAGAGAGACTCCTTTTAGGAATTTCAGAATTTTTCATACTATTGTTGTTTTTTTAAAAAACATCTTTACTAACATTTGACAATTTTATTGTTTTTCACAAGAATTTCACAATTTTGCCACTACTTTCGTTTGCTACAATTTTAAAATTTCAAATGGTTAAAACCACGATTATCAAAATGTCCTATAAATTTTGTAAATTTCCTACGAGTATATAAATTTAAGTTCACTTATTTATCGTACAAATTGAAAATTGAAGTGAAGTAAATTTATTCGACGTAAAAATACTCAATGCACAAAAGGATGTATAGAAATGTCTCCATCGACAAGAAAGTTAAATATCTGTTGCAAATGTATTTGTTGCTTTCTAAACTAATGGATCAGGGTATGTTAATGAATCAGCTTACCACTGCGGTCTTGTTCTGTGGTCGCGTCTTCGCTAACTGGCTTCTCCAAAACTTTTGTCTTGGTCAACTTCTGGACCTGATTCGGTATCATCGCTAACATTAAGCTCGTGGAATTTTTCAAACTACCGTAAGACTGCTCCAACTGTTTTACTTTTTCGCTAAGTTCTGTATTGGATGCGTGAACTTCACTCAACTGTAAAATTTACAATTAATTCGAAATTTTAATTATATTCTTCATTAGTGATTATTTTTTAAGACAATTCAAGACAACAACATCTCTAACATTCAATAAAGATTATAAAATGATTCAAATATTTTCTCCAAAAACTGTAAAACTGACATTTAAAGATATTACACAATTATTTTTTAAATCATATAGAATGCATACATACTTGGTTATTCAATTCCATGACAGACTTGAGTATAGTGGTCTTTACACACTCTCTTTGCAGAGATATTACCTTCATGCTAACATTCTGAGTGGTCTCCTGAAGCAACACCAATGTTTCCTGTAAAAAAAAAATCAATCATTTTTCAGTCAGTGGACGTCACTTGTACTTTTTATAAATTCTCAAATATTTACATGATCTTTCTTCTGGTCCTCTGCCACCCATTGTACAGCTCTCGACAGAGTTTCATTCATGTTTATCAAATTATCGGATAAATGTACAATTGCTGCATTCAATTGGTCAGTCTTTATTTTTGTCTCATTTGTGATCAGCATCTGAGGCTTTTGCGTAACATTTGACAATTCTGTTACTGCATTCTGCAATATATACAAATGAAGGAAAAATAATTTTATAAATTCTATTCTTGATGTGGATGTTCTACATGAAAAAATATACAACATGTACAGCATGTATAATAAATGAATTTATCATCAAGAATCATAATATATGAGAAATGAAAAGCATTTCTATTTCATTTCAATTTCATTTTAATTAGTTGGATTAATAAAAATCTGAATTCTTGCATCATGATCGAATTGTAACATTAAATATAATATTATTGAGTAAAAAAGTTTGATTATGAACCTTGATACTGGAAATATTCTGCTGCATAGTGGTTTGAACATCTTGTACCCTAGCATTGGATTCTTTCAACGCTTTTACTGTGGCACTCAAGTCTTGTATTTGGCTTCCGAATGACACCACACTACTGGAGAGGGCCTTCAAATCTGTTGGCACATTAAATAATGCTGGATCCTCTTTGAACCATTCTTCTACTCGATGCAAATCACGTTGGATAACTGCTAACTGTAGATAAATTTTTATGTAAATCTTTCTGGCAATAAGTATATGTTGTGTATAAGTGTCTTTAAATAATTGTTGATTTTCATTATAAATTATCGACTCATTACTAATACAAATATTTTTTATTGTCATTGTGGAATACTATTTATTTTAAATTTCTGAGAAGAAATAATTTTTATGGCTTAAACACAGTTTCAAGATACAAGGTGAACAACAAGGTGGGCAATTCATTGAATTATTAAAATTTAGCATTTAAATTTTAAAAATATTAAAAATATTCCAAGGTGATGATTTCAAATCTAGAATTTAAATTTTAAGAGCAATTATAATTGTATAAATTATACATAGTTTAGAAATTTAAAAATCCACTTAAGAAATCGATGCACTATGAATTTACCTGCGTTGTGAAATTATTGATTTGAAGCTTGAAATCTGATAAATGAGTGAAAATAATGGTCTGGTTGTTCTGGAGGTCTCTCGACAGAGAGTGACATTTCTGCAGAGCATCAGGAACACCTTCGCTACCGGCAATAACTGCAATGGCAAATAGTATTTTTGTTTTCTCAATTTTCTCATTTCTTTTAGGTATAAAATATCGTACGTAATCGTATACATGATACAATCATTTCAAATCTTATCAAACAGATTCAATCAGAAACAGATACGACGAATATGTTCGAATTGTAATCTTTTTTTTTTGAGCCTGTGAGGATTGAAGAATATAACACTTGGAATTAATTAAAAAATTGTATTTGTCACAAAAGTGAGAAAATTAATGTTACCTCAAAATTTCAAATTACTTTCGTGATGTCTTATTTCATATTCTTTTTTATTAGAGTATTAATTAATCATTTCTGGTAATTTTAAGTGTTATTAATCAGTCAAACAATAAATGTTTTAAACTCTAATGCATCGTGTCTTCTTTGAATCACAGATAATGTCAGAAAGTGTGTGTATTCACTTTCGATAATAAAGCAGATGAAACAATATTTTCCATTCAATGGTTTCCAGAAAGATTTTAAGGATGAAAAAGGATTCGTACGAGGAACGAAAGATTGGTTATCAGTTTAAAATTTCTCTCATGGATTCCAAAATTTAATTTCCTTCGTGTAGAATGATATTGTAGACTGCTCAATTATCCTCAAAGGCCCAACTGGAATCTTTTCTATTCGCTGAACTATTCAACCATGAAAGAGAATAATCCAATATTTGTCAACTTATAAGGTTAAGCGTATTGTTACCACGCAGCCATAATCGTCGCGTTAATAATAAGCGACGCAGCTACTATCAGTCTTATCTCTTTGAGTCATAAATCAGCCGCAACCAATTAAAAAAAAGAAAAAAAAGAAAAACAGAAACGGGAGGGAAAAAAAAGGCGCATTTCTATTCTGGAACTCGATTATACGTATAACAGCACAGACGAGGTAACATGCCTCGTGTTACCTCGTTTGTGATATAATATACACAGCGATCGATTACAATAATTCTCGCAATTATTGCACGAGATGTAGAAATACGCGAAGAAACGAAAAAAACGAAATATTCATTTTACGTGCGAATATCCTTGACACGATTTTATACGTTTATTTCTCAGAAAGATGCAGTATTATACCTTGGTCCAGCTCGGTCCGTAGAGCGGTAAGTTGCTGACGAACGTCGATGAACAGCCAAATTAAACTAGCGGTTGCTAATACAGAGGCACAAGCCAGAAAGGCACTACAAGCTTTAAAAAATCCGGGGCAAGCTCGACTTCGTCTGCCTCTGCATTTGCGGCCATTTCTAGTCGATATATTCCAGTATTCCGAGCGTTCGTCGCTGCTATCTGACAGTAACTCCTAGAAATTGTTAGGATGATCAGTCCAAACCTAACCTAAATCTAACCTATACCTTGCCAACGTGTTTCTCTTCGCTAACGTCTCTGTGACGTCACATTTACGTTCCAATATACATTTTTATCGTATTTTCTTTTTTCTTTGTTTCTTTCATGTGTTTTACGGATTTATGTAACGCGTAAAACGAATGAGAGATAAGTATATCGTGAAGTATTATATTCTAATAAAATAAAAAGATTTTCGAAGCAAGCTCTTCGAACCTTTTCACTTTGTAATTGTACCGAAATTTGGTAATCTTCACTTAAGTCAATGTACTCGATTGATCCTTGCGTTTCGAGTATTTGAATTCTTTCTTTTTCTTTCAGAGTAATTTTTAAAATAACAATCGGTCCTCTTCTCGATTATTATTTCAGCAGTCTTTTATTCCAACTGTTCAAATAAAATTGGCAAAATAAGTGCAGGAATTATTTTACAATGATTCCACCGGGAGTATGGCGGACTTTTTTTTCTGGTGAAGTAACACGGTTAAGAAAATCAATCACAGATTATTAAAATTCCTGTCCAAAAGGAAGGGTTTCTTTACAAAAGCTTGCAATTACATAATTTTACACATTGAAAGAGGAAACGAAGAGGAAAGTAAGTTTAATGCGTATTGTTTATTTGCTAATAATTTTTAGTTTGCATAAGCAAGACAATTACCTACATTCAGTATTATATATGAAGTATAAAAAAAACTATATCATCTTTGATTCTCTTATAATTTTTTTTACCTATATCTACTTAAAACAAACTTCTGTGAACTTTTCCAACATTTCACACTCAATTTATTTATATTTATGTATGAATCTATATGTTATTACTGTACACATACATATTATTTATATATATATTATATATTTCATATATATAATATATAATATATATCATATATAATATATAATATATAACATATATCATATATATCATATATAATATATAACATATATCATATAAATATATAACATATATCATATATATAATATATAACATCATATATATAATATATAACATATATCATATATATAATATATATCACATATATATATTTAATATATATCACATATATATAATATTTAATATATATCACATATATATAATATTTAATATATATCACACATATATAATATATAATATATATCACATATATATAATATATAATATATATCACATATATAATATATAATATATATCACATATATATATAATATATATAATATATATATTTCATAAATATCATAAATCATAAATATGAACACGAACCAACATGAGTTGCAATTCTCGACAACATTTCAAACAAATGCGCTTCGTTAAATCAAAATTTTTCTAAATTCTGCAAAAAAGATTTCATGTTTCTGTCAAGGGATTTCATCGAACGACTTGGCGATCGATACATGAGGATATACTCGGTGTACGAAAATTATACAGAAGTGGAAGATATTACTAAAAAAGGAAGAAAAGAAAAAGAAGAGAAATTACATTCTTACTCGAGAAACATTTTCTGTGCAAAATGTACAATTGTTCCAGAAAGGGACAATATAATTAAAAGAGATTTATATTTCAAGAGAATAAATACAGTTCTTCATAAAAAAAAAAAATTCTTAGCTTTTAAGGAATTTATGGCAAACGTAAATACAGATCCAGGAAAAAATTCTCCAGATATTTGTTAAACATTCCTATCGCCCCTTCGCAAACGTGATCTCTCATCATTTCAAAAGATGTCAAGCGCTTCCCTGTCAACAATTGACTGTCCAATATAAGGAATTGTAGATAAAAGATTAGTAATTACTATTGCTCCCCAAGATGACATCTGTCCTCATGGAAGGACATAGCCAAGAAATGCAGTAGCTATTGAAAGAAATATAATTGAACTTCCTACTATTCATACTTGTCCTAATTTAAAAGAATAGTAAAAAAGATGACGTCAGATGTGTGCATACATTAGTATAAAATAAAATGAAGCACCATTTATGTGAATTAGCCTGAATTTACATCTTTTATAATATATGATACTCTTTTAAATGCAAAATCAATATTTGGACAGTAATGTATAAACAAAAATAATGTTGATAAAAACCTGAATATTATAAGGAATGCTCCAAGTATTGATCCAAAATTTCATAAATAGTTAATATTTATGAAACAGGAGTTGGAAGATAAATAAATGATGTAGGAATTTTGAACATCGTCGTACCACGAGGTGGCGGGAAATTTGAAAAATTTCTCGATCGCGAAGAGATACGTACTTGAGAGCTACGTTTCCCGGAACTGCGGCGGGAAACGGTGTGCGGAGGTGCCAGGGCATCGAGCTCCTTTCGTTTCTTCATCTTCTTCGTCGGCTGACGAAGTGGCACTGTCACTGCTACAGAGTCCATCTCAAGCTCGAGTAACACCGAACCGCCTATCTTTGTTTCGTTTTACGCGAGCTTGTCGCGTACGACTTTTATTTCCCTCTCTCTCTCTATCTATCTCTTGTTTCCTTTCTTGTATGTATATGTGTGTGTCCTTTTTCTTTTTTTTTTTTCACTCTTTATCAATCCTCGCGCACGATGCACACGCGTCGACAATCGTTCGCGGCAGGTTCATTTCCGTGAGCTTAATATTCGGCCGCGTTCTCTTCAACGATAACGCGACACGATTCACCACACGGTTTTCACAGTTCTTTCTATTTTTTCGCGATCACATTTTTCTTCTTTTCTTTCCTCGATCTGCTACAACAATGTTACTAACGTATCGTATATTGCCCGACCACTTGTTCTGAAAGTGTTCAATTCATTTTCCCCACGAAACGTGCATACTTTTTCCTTTCGTTTCCTTTCTTGTCTAAATGAACTCTATATGCTGTGCGTGTCTCGTGATGGAATAAATCTATACCTTGGCGTTAGGGACGAGCCGGGTAAGATTTATGAATTTGGATAGCTATCATGTCATTATTCCATAAATCCCTGGAAAATTTACGAATTTCGAATTTCGAGCAAAACGACCAAAATTTTTGGTTTTCTTGCGGAAAAATTCCCCTCTCCCCCCTCCCCCTCCCCCTTCTCGACTTGTCAATTATTTGAAAGTTCACTCGCCGAGGGAGGACGAAAGATTTTGCAGCTTGTGAAAGATTTGTCGACGATTTCCTCGGCAGCCAGCCACGTCCGTGTAAGATCGATCGGTGCCGATAGAACAGCAACGAGAGAGCCAGAGTTCTCGAGAGCCGACAAAAGAGGTCAGAAGGGACAAAGGCGACGAGGAAGTCGAACAAAACCTCGACTAGCCAAGAAGAAACGAGGAACAACAAAAACGAAGAGAGAGAGAGAAAAGAAAGAGGAAAATGGGAACAAGTTACGATATAACGCAATGATAAGCAACGATATGATTTTTACACCGTAAGCAAGTGTATCAAAGTTGTTTAAGGCAGTCGGCTCATTTAGACAAGGGAACCCGAACAAACTACTTCAACTTACGTGCAAGGTGAAATTTTTCGAAATTTTCCGTAACTACGATCGGCACATCTGATTCTACATTTAAAAATAAGTCGAAGGAAAAGAGTACAATTTTCCCACCCGACGCTTCGTTTCCGAGAAAATCGAGAAAATTGAAAGTTTTATAGGTTATGCTTGAATTCAGCTAATTCCAGACGCGACAGAGAAGAACAATTGAGAGGTCATCCTACGCGTGAAAATAAGTAAGAAATAGATAGAATGAAATTTTGTTTTAAAATGCTTCGTCTTCGAGAAAATCGAGTTTGAAAATTTTATCGGCTTGAATTCAGCTAATTCTAGACGCGATAGAGAAGAATAAATTAATAAGAGAGTATTCTACATTCAAAAATAAGTAAGTAGAACAAAATATTTTTTGTAAGATGCATCGTTCTCGAGGAAGTTGAACCTTCAATCGAAAAGGTTTATTATCTCTCCTCTCGACTTATTTTCTCACGCAGAATCACCTTTTGGACGGTTTTCGACGGTGTACGAATTTCGGAAACACCCTATATAGCAACGCTATCGAACGAAATATTAATCTTAAGCCTTAGTAAATATCGTAGTTTTAGTATAAATTTTTGAAGTTCGACAAAGCAAATTGGTGATCGAGTCAAAAACCAAAAACTCTCAAAATTCGGTGAATGTTCCTGTAGATTACGCATCGTAAATAATTTCAATTAACTACTATGCAAGACTGATGTTTTTTTTTTTTTTTATAGTTGCACGAATTTTCACGAATGTAATGATTATCAAAGCCAATGTGTGACGTGAAACCATTGAATTGCTACGAGCTGTCCTCAACCCACGCTCACGGTACCGGAAGTCCAACCGAAGCTGAAAGTGGAACCAAGGTGGAAGGAAAACTCGAGCAAATCGGAAGAACTCTTCTCAACCATACTTCAAATCACATTTTTTATTTTCTCTCTACTGTTCGAAAGATTTCCAAAGAGCACGTGAAAAAAAAGAGAAGAAGATCGTTTCCTCGATCGTAGGTTTACAAGCCAATAAGTAAATTTCCTTTAACACACTTAACAACATCACGAGTTAACTCGCATTCGCGCTTGCATAAAATTGCCAATTAGCAGTGCGTCGGTGCTTACAGCTGAAACTAAATCTCAATCTGCTTGACTTACCGACTGAAGGTAAATTATCCAAAAAATTTCGAAATTCCAATTTATAACTCTGCGATGGAATATTAAAAGAAAGAAAAGGAAGAAAAGATGTTTACCGATCGAAAGTGAATTACGTACGTAGTCGCACTTATCGTGAATCGTTTATTCGCGATAATTAAACGCGAAAAAAGGCGCGACGAAACGAGAGGAACCCGCGTCACGAAGCGAACATCGCGGCGAAACGTTTCGCACTGCAGGCACTCTCTTATCATCGTCTGGCCATCGTGTACCTGACAACGTTTACAACAGGTAACACCCGCGCGACTACACACACGAATAAATATCTGTCCCGCATACACATCGCACGTATCTACTTGCACGCATTCGCCCAAGAACAATGGACAAAATCTGGTTGTCGTATTTTATTAGCGAACGAAGTTTTTTCAACCAACTTTGATTGATTTAATTACAAGTAATTGATACATGTATATATATGTATATATAAATAAGCTTCTTAAATTATAGTTTAAATAATTTAATAGACAAGTTGAAATAATAATTTATAGGTAAATAATAGATTATAAGTTTTTGATTTAATTCCAAGTAATTGATATATATATATAATATATATATAATATATATAATATAAATATG